CATTCATTCATTCATTCATTCATTCATTCATTCACTCATTCATTCATTCATTCATTCATTCATTCATTCAATTGCGAGACGATACGCTTATTAAGCGGATCAACGAAGTGGATAACTGAACGTCTGTTGAATTTACAACTTTCACAATTTGAAGAAAATAGTGGACTCTAAAAAATGCCCGACGGATTCAGCGACACTTCACATAAATCAATCGAACTGGTTGACGTAGTGCACCCACAATACTTTGAATTTATTAGACATTCTAATGGATTCAAGTGATTTTGTGAGGCTCTGAACACTTTGAAATAATACGAAAAGTAGTGAGTTGGATGAAACAGTGTGGCTGAAGTTTAAACGTTCACATCGTCGTCATTTATCTGAGGAGAAGATGACATTTTTCGTTTAAATTGAATGTGAATGCATCAATTAATGAAGTGACATTCCTTTCAATTAACGAACTTTACTTCTGGATGTAAGTTTTTACTGAAGGCGAAAACTTAATTCCAGCAAATCGTCTTTCAAGCGTATTTCGATCTATGTTTTGTGAGGTAATCGTGACGGAAATGCCTGAGAACAACAGGGACCTTTGGTTACCTTCATATCTTGTGCTTAAAAGTCGTTCAAGTTTCAGACATTCGAAACATAACTGGTCACTTGCGGCACATCTGACCAATCCAGCGAGGCCAACTGCTGGCAACGTTTCATCATATCCAACCAAAGTGGAAATAAAGACGCCTTGTCTTCGACAGACAACCTAATCAGCCAGCCGCAGGTAACTTCCTTTCGGCAGGAACGTTCGACTTGCTGAACGACCTCGTCAAACAGTAGACCCTCTCTTGGGTCTTCAGCGTTCAGACATGTGGTACTCAGTTTCCTGCTGACAAGCCGCAAGAAATTCTTCTTTTCTCTTTCGTAAAAATCATTTGCGCAAGTAAACAACGGAACCGTGACCATTGGGTAAAGGGTCAGAAGATACTTCGAATCGCCTGCCAGATTCACCCAGTTATAGCCCACAGTTGTGCCGGCCAAAAGAGCGTTATGAAGAGAGTTGGCAAAACCGGTACCGGTTGAATAATGCCATACCGTCAGCGCTTCTACTGTCAGACAGCACAGAATGAGTAAAGCCAGAAGAACAGCGGTAGCCATCGTCGAACTCTCCAACAAGAAGAAACGCTTCAGAATCTCAGCCGTTCTCAGTAGGTAGCGGAAAGTCCGATGTCCACAGCCAACAACGAACCGAAACATTATAGTTATGCCAACTGTTGAAATGGCCATAAAAGCGCTTTGCCCAATTATCGATGAAGGGCCACATAATTTGAAACCTAAAAACAGTTTTTCATCAATTCGTTCAATAATTTTGCTTAAACAATATATGACTATGTATAGGATTTGTGTCATCACTTCGTAGATCATTTTCATTAAAGGCAGTGTGAGCATTTGTTTTGCGTACCTTTAACTGCATAGAACTGTCTTCTGCCATTTTCATGAGTTTCCCATCCTGCATTCTTGTGTCTAATTATTTTGGCAATGCTGTCATGGGTGTGAAATAAATAGCACTATAACACATAATTTAGCATAATTTGAGAATAAGGTGGTACAACCATCAGAAGCGACGGTCTTCTAAATTCACGAGCATTTGCAATTATTCAGTGGCAGATGACTCACGTGGCTTATCACTCGATCGAAATCTCGATCTTCCTTGAACTTTCATGATGAGGCTACTTCTAGCGCCTTTCTGATCATGAAACCAGTTATGGTGAGGCGCTGATCTTTGTTCCCCTCTCATCAGAGATGACTTCCCTGGCTAAAAGCAGAGTTTACAGCTTTGCGGCAGGCATAATGCGCAATGTGCTTTATTTCCACAGTGTGGCACTGATTTATCAACCTCAGAAGGAAGATTGGCCAGTGACATGACCGAACTTCGGACCTGGAACCTCTGCGCTCTGAGTCTGACCCCTTGCTATATATGAAACCTCAGGGATTTCTCCATATGTAAGGATCATTACCCCGTGACAATATTTCATCATGGCCGACATATGTAGAACGAATGTAAAGCAATATTTAGTAAATATCAAAACTGCGAATTTCTTTAATAAATTCAAGGTCAACATCTGATTTCAGAGCTCTACGTTTTTCATTGACCTGGCACCATCAATTGCAAACACCTCATGAACCCGTTGCATGTCTAAAGCTTACGATCCAAACTTAGTATCTAAGCGCTAAGAGAATAGGCAAACATTAATTTTACAGCTTAATACATATTTACTTATCTTCATGCCCCATCGTATTCCTTATTCACTTGCTTACAGAATCACATATTTCTTCACTTACTGACTCACTGATTTATAAACTTATTTGTTTATTTCAGTAGCATTATTTACTCTCTTACCATTTTTTGCTGACTCTCTTGATTACTCGTTTTCGTTACTACTTAAT